TGTGCGGCTCGATGATTTCGCCCGAAACCCCACATTTGAACATTTGGGGGATCTTTGTCATGTGCCGATTGAAAGAATGGGTAAAGCTGGACAGCGTGGCTGGGGATGTCGTTAGACGGTCTGTGAACGTTTGTAGCCCCTGCTCGTCGTTGACGAACGAGTGGAGGAGGGAGTTGATATGGCAGCAGCCCGAGTGCACGAAACGGCGAAACGTAGTTTCAGGGCCTTCGTCGTAGAAGTTCCAGAGGTCAAGGATTATATCTCCCGTGCGTGGTAGCGCAAATATTGCCTGGGCCAAGCGTGGATCGAGGGAAATCATGTAGCGTAGCAACAAGGCGTTGGCTGAATACACGTTGATAGCGCTGTCCACCCCATAGATTCGAGGAAATCTTATGCAGCACTGGATCCAGGCCAGAATGCTGTCGAGCTCCTCCAAGATCTTGGTAGCCGTTACCTTCTGCAGCGTGCGTGAGCAGCGAGCCACGGCCTCGATGCAGCAGGCCAAGGTTTGCAGAGCCAGAGCACCATTAGTTGCACGGAGCTCTGTAGTAGGGTCACCAGATTTGAGATGAGCTGAGAAAAGACACTCGGAGGGTCGCAAATTGACCAGTGCAGCGTCGAGGACTGACAGCGAGTAGTTGTCACGAGCGACTGTCGTGTAAATCTGACGAAGAGCATCGTTGTTCCCATTTTTTGCTCTCTCTATAACCTAAGGAGTGTCAATGATCCTAACCTTTTTCTGACCAACGAGACTCACTGCTCTTGTGATTATTTTCGTTGACGGTGCCATTCTGGGCGTGATGGTCAAGGAGGAAGGTGTGGCAACCAGTTGCAACAGGGGCTCGAGCCCTTATCTTATCGTACAGCCACCATTTCATCCACTCCCGCGCCGACGTACCGAGGTTGGCTCTTGACTTCCATCCCTTCCTCCTCGTTCCCCTCCCGCTTTCAGCTCTTGCCCTGGAACCCCCGTCCCTTATCGTTGGAAGTAAGTAATAAATTGTCCAATGCCTGTGATAGTCCAGCGCTGAACCTCGTACGAAGTTTGACCAGGACTAAGGCCGTGACGGAGACAGCAGTTAGGATGAACTGGCTACGTGCATACAAGCAAGTAAAGGTTTCTTCTTATGCTTTACCTTCATTAACATTATCTAATCCAATCTCACTCACGACTTCTAACTCTTGGCCTGCTATACATGATCTACGGTCCACCGGCACTGCCCATCTCCTGCTACATTTCTGCTGGAAACCTCGAAACTGGCTGCCGTCTCAACTTGTGAATGCTACGCAACGCTTGGTCGAATAGTGCAGTCCTTCTCCGACGACCTATGATGGTCCAATGTGTCACAGCGGCTGGGCTGTTCGGTGCTGGAGATGTAATAGCACAACAGCTCGTAGAGAAGAAGGGTCTGAGAGGGCATGATGTGAGTTATCCTCTATCTGTTCAGCCGCCGTGACGTCTCCAGACTTGGGGAGAGCTGGTTTACACGAGAACACCCACTATACGATTGCGAGGCATAGTCCCTGAACGCGCACCTATGCCTCCAATTCTTCCCCTTGTCACCGACCTGGTTCAGAAACTGACGTCTTGCCCTTAGTTCGCTCGAACAGCGCGTCTAACCTTCTACGGCGGTACGTGGCTTCTCTTCAGCATCCGAAACTCCAATCTGACTTGGTTTCGCACCCCAGGTGCCATGTTCGGCCCTCTCATGACCAAATGGTACCAGTTCCTCAACAGGATATACTTCCCAAGCCCAACCAAGGCGCTCGTGTATCGGGTATGTCTACACCACGCTCCTGTCGTCTACACGAGCAGTACGCTGATGCCACCTCATCCTTTATCAGCTATGGCTAGACCAATGCCTACTCACACCAGGTAAGTACCTGTTTTGCTTGCTGCGCTTCTCTGCGTGTGTCTTGACTGCTCGCGACGTTGCCTGGATATGGATAGTTACTGACACATTTTTGAACAGTGGCCGTCATATTCTTTTACGGCTCAATGAGTACACTAGAGGGCAGACCTGATCTCGCAGTAAGCAGGATCAAGGAGGTAAGCTCGCCTTCACCTTCGCATTCTCCATTGCCTGCTGACGAAAGTTCACACCTCTCTGCCTATCTCACCAACGTCTGTCTTCAATAACTGGATTTGAATGCCCTGCACCGATCTTCGTGTCGTCACATAGGCCTACGTACCGACTCTCATCCGCAATTGGGGTGTCTTCATCCCAACGCAACTCATTAACTTTACTCTCGTACCACCCCATCTTCGAATGGTGACCGTTGGTGTCGTCAGTTTATTCTGGAGTGCGTATCTTTGCTCGAATTTGCCTTCCCGCTCGTTTCCTATCCTATCTCTTCCTACTCGACGTCTTGCCGATTCGTTGGCTTCTTGCTCTCCCTCCATTTCCCAGGAGAGCCAGCGCTGACGATGCTACCAATTTCTCCTACAGACACATACCTATCAGCAGCCAACGCCGCTGCCCAAAAGGCTACCGTCGAAGTGACAGTCCCAGTTGGCATGAAAGATGCGCTCGACACCGCTGCGTCGATGGATGACAAGAAGGCGACCGGCGTCGAGGCGGGTGAGCCTGTAGTCGGGCCAGGACCTGGACTGGGGATCGTCTGGCCGGGGAGTGAGAAGAAGTAGAGCTTTCGTGGTGGGGAAGGACTGGGGTTGGTCCGCTACATATCGATGATAGATGAGGAGAGGAGCTATTGGTCCTATTTACAGAAGGGCTTTTACCTGGCCGTTGGGGTATAGCACGGGTGCTAATTCGCCTTGTTCCTGAGTTGGAACGTGACTCTGGATCTATTCATCGTGCTCCATCTACGAATCCTTCCTGCTCTCTTGTTAGTTGAATTGAATCGTGGCGGTGATCCCAAGGGTTGACCTTGTAGGTGTACGACTCTGAACAGAGGAGAGGGTTATTGTCGATCCCGTACACCTGGAAATCTCACTTCAAGGTACGGATGTGGCAAAGCACCGCTCGGAAGCCACCTATAGCTTACTCGGGACATGGTCATTGAGTTTTCAACTCTCCGAAACACTCGAAAGCTTTCTTGATGCGCTTTAGAGGTGCGCTCTTGGAGCAGCGAGTCCATGCAATTTATATCCAAAGCACGAGGAAGGTTCCGTCGTTCCCGCCCTCACAGACCGGCGCCACATGCTTTGTGTCACCCGGTATTGAGAGGCCGCATGGTAGCTCTAGGTCTTGCTTTGCGACGGCGATTAAGATGAGCCCAAACCCTGCGTTCAAATTCATTAAAGGCTCAACGTTCATTCGCATTCTCAACTGCTAGTGCTTCTAATACATGTTTCTGTGCATAAACGTCACCAAGGAATGGATGGAAGAGCGGCCTCTCCCGGGAACTCGTCTCGTGTGCCTTTTGTCCTAAACCACCGCGGCGGTTCATCCTCAAAGCAAGACTTAATAACCTCGTACTGTTTATCGGTAGGTCGAATGTTGAGATGATAATCGCTCCAGGTGCACGCAAGCCCCAAGACCAAGACGACCTTGTCTTCGTCAGCGTCCTCACGGCTGAGCTTGAAGGTCACCTTCGCTTCGTCCTCGCTCAAGCCTTCGGGCCGACAGAAGATATAGTATAGGACTCGGTATCCTGACATCTCCTTGATGGTGTTCAAAGCCACACCTGCGTTAAGGAAGGTACCGTTGATGCCAGGGCGGCTGGTGAGTGTCTTGAGCATTCGACTCATCCGGCCATAGCTTGTAGGGTAACAATAGACGAATTCGCAGTCTTCGTCTTCCCAGCCCTGTGGAGGGGGCGGAAATGGCTGGAAGACCTCTCGCAACTCTGCAGCTGAAGGGAATACCACAGTGGTGTACTCTTTCGGAGAAGAGTGTTCCGAGATTGTCATGGTGAATGCTCAGGCGATAGGCGGTGGGACTGCGGCTGCTATGGCAAGTTAGTAGCGTAGTTTCGAAAGACATTGTTATCTGACCTGCGGGATTTATGAAAGTCAAGTACTGGTTGGCTAATCTTCTAGCTTTTCGGCCTTCTTCCGGACTCATCATGACCTTTATTTAAGGCCCCCGAATTTGCGTTTATTTGGATTATTGAGGGCGTGGCTTTCTACTAATCGAGCGAACAAAAGAGTGACAGCATGTGTAGCATCAACGACGACTACTGTTGAAGAACAGACACTCTGCCAGTGTGGGCTTCTCTATGATCAGCTAATGAGCGTGGCTTGGCATAGCAGCACAGAGCGACACCCGTCCAGAGAAGAACAAGCATGGATAGTTTCAAGGACTAAATAGTTCAAATGGAAAGTCTCCGCGAGCGTACAGGGATTCAATCCAGCAAGGAGGTCCCAAAGCAGCCTCCCATACTGCCATCTGCATTGGAGACGGTCGAAAGCTTGTGTATCCATTATGGTCACAAGCGAATGCGAGGACAGGAGCATAGGTAGATCCGTTGTCTAGAGTAATCAAGCATCCAGTTTCGCCGCTGATATCAGTTGGTCGGGGTTGACAGTGGAAGATTCCGACGTTGGAGAAACCGCTTCGAGTACGGAGCTCTTGAATCACGGACTCAGAGTCGAAAACAGTACCAAAGGCACTCCGGCGAAGGCGTATCTGGCGCCGGACGCCGTTGGCGAGATTCCAACGGCTGAAAGGCCAGCCATAGATCCAGCAGTTATTGGTGTACTTGGCTTCTTCGGGGGCAGGAGGGATGTCGATGTACTCTTTGGGTTCAGGCGCAGCTCGGAACGTCGGACGTGGTGGCATCTAGTCTAACTTCGGATATTAACATCAGGTGGAGGGATGAGGGAGTGTTACTTGCATTTGGTAAAGAGAGAGATGGCAGGCTAACGATTAGTGCACGAAAACTCAGTCCAAAACCATTCCGTGCCATAGTTGGCCACTGATATTTGCTACTGTTTACCCAGATTCCCTGAGAAACGAATGAGTCAAATGGGAGGCATGAGGGCAGAGGACTCAAGAACAATCTAATTACAAGTCTTTCATCAAAAATGCATGTCTCTGTTCGTATATCGGTTAGTACACGCGCCTGTCAGCGGATCTGGTCGCGCGAAAGCTGGGTTCGATTCCCAGACAGAGAGATTGAGTCGAATGGCGATAGCCCCTCTCATTTTATCCTTTTTCGCCTTCTTCATCAGGAAGCCATTCAAGAGTCAAGGAGATCAACGTCCCTCGACAATGAATGACATTAATGATGCTAAGCGCGACAGAGAGGTCTCTGAACGTTTGCAACAGGACGGGTTCCATAAACTAATGGCCATTTGATGCACAGATAGATACAATTTAGGAATACAAAGAGGAGGGGGGAGAAAATAGGGTGGAATTGCCAAAGGTGCGGAAGAACGAGCGCTTTGTGGGTCTGGGGATTACAAGCGATGCAGAGAGACGTTGTCTTTGACTCGGAACAGTGAATGTTCTACACGAGAAGAGAAATCGGTGAACCCTTCATCCCAGTGCGCCCAATTCACCTCGCGGTTTGGCCGATTCATGCCCAACACTTCTTCATCTGTTGACCAGCCAAAGGATATCTCTGGCGTGTCAGAGATGTCATCGAACATCTTGTGCATTGACTTCAGGACCACCTCCGACGGGTACGAATCATCGAATCGCAAGTATAGATGGCGGAGCGGCGCAAGGCGTGTGGTCACATCGGGGCCGGTTTTCGGGACTCGCGATTGAAGAAACCCGCTGAGAAGATTGACCATGACTTGGTTGAATGCACGGTAGCGCGGATCATATTCAAGGGTTTCCAGATGAAGCGACATGCTAAGCGCTTGTAGTTTGGGCAGATAGTAGGCCTTGGCCTTCCCTTGCGGGACAAGGGTGGAGAGGAGGTCGACGCAATCGGTGTTGACGTGCAGTACGAGGCTTTCAAGCTGAGTGAGGGGGATCAAGATAACCATGATGGAATTGGCGAAGTCGATTTGCTCTACGTGGTCGCAAGCAAGTGTGAGGTGGGTGAGAGGACTGAGTGCGGCGAGGAATGGAGAGCCTGGGTCGGTGTTCATCGGCAGCATCGAGGGTTCTTCGTTCTCTTGACAATGTATGTTGAGATGGGTGAGCGAAGGCCAAGTGAACCTCGCTTGCGGATCGAACAAGGATGTGATGTATAGGGTGAGATGCGATAGCCACGGTTGGTTGACTTCGACAGCGAGGGGTTGGTCGGATGGGATTTCAGATCCATCATCACCGATGGAAAAGACACCATGCTTGAGGCTCCTGCAAACTGACATGAGTCGTACCCACGCACTGTCGGAAACCCCATCTCCACCGATGTAGAGGTGGGTAAGCTGGGAGGTTGGAAATTGGTAGAATTGGGATGGGAATGACGACAGGATGAGTTTGGATAGTCGTGGTAGCTTGGGTAGCGATGGCGACTGACCGGCCGGCTCGTAATCAGAGGGCCAGCGCATGATAAATGACTCAACAAGGGGGAAGGTGACGCCACGAAGAGCCTTGCTTTCGTTGTCGGAGTCGATACGAAGCTTGCGGAGTGACTTGAATGCAGGGTGTCTGAAGAGAGAGGTGAGAGGTTTTGGTTCTGGGGCAGTTGGGTCGATGGGGACGTTGGTGAGACCCAAGCCTCGCGCATTGATGGTCAAAGACCAGCCGCACTGCTTGAGCAGATCCAGACAGAAGACTAGCGAGCGAGCTGAGCGTCCTCCAATGGTAGGGTCGTTGGGTGGTACATGGCGTCTGGCGTCAATGCGGACCATTGCCCAGAGTGAAGTGGACGATTTGGCAGCAGCATACCAATACCGAGAGACCTGACAGAGGATCGCAGCAGTCTGCTTTGGCTTGATCCAAGGATCTTCCTGTGGACAGTGAACGCAAAATTGGAAGATGCGCGAGAGGGTTTCGATTGGAAGACGACGAAGAGGTGATAGCAGACTGTCGCAAAGTTCAAGTTTCGCCTCAAGATTTTCGCGCTCTTCGCGTAAAGCAGAGCGCGTCTGAGGATGCTTGGACGCGAGTATTTCGGCAGCTAATTGCAGATAACGCGCTTCATACCCTTTCTGAGTGGAGAGGATTTGATTATGCTGCAACGGTGACAGCTGATTTCCTGACCTCGCAATCTCAGCCAGACCGTTTGGCAGGTCAAGCTGAGTTTCCAAGTGAGCACTTCATAGTTGGAATTGAATTGAACAGGGCTTACATCGCATAATCGTTTCAAACTCCCGTTTTCCATCGCTCAATTTCGGCCACTGGACTGTCTGCTTAGTTCGATAAAGCACAAAACCCCTTGGAAAGGTATTTACCTCGTACGTTGTATAGTCACAGAGATAGAGTAAAGAGCCAGCGAGACGCTGGTCAGTTGCCAGCGAAGAACTTGCAGTCACCTGACTCGTGTCGATCTTTGTTTGGTCGGGCGCTTATTTTAGCCTGATGTCAATTCAGGCTAGCCGAGAACGTAAAAGGTGACATTCATCGATGGAATTGGGTTGTATGCGTTCAGTGAAGCTCTAGATTGGTGTATATGAAGCTTGCGCCAACTTTAGGCTTGACCCCCGCGCACCAGCCTTAACCAGACTCATTCACGCCGTTTGAACCTGGGAAGCACCCTTCACTGCAGAAGAGGATCAGTACATCAACAAGCGGGAATATCGGCGAACGATCTGAAGTCCCCAGTTTGTATTGCTTGGGCGTCTCCGTACCCAACAGAAAGGTGCGAGATCGCGCTTCCACAAGTTCTGCAGAAAACGCGGGTGACTGAAAGGAATTGCCATTTAGAGGAGAAAACGGTACATTAGATGAAACGCGAACGCACCAACGTTGCCACTGGTAGCCCGAACGTCGTACTCCTTGATAAGACCCTTGATCTTTACATCCTTCTTGGGAGCAAGAATGTTGACGCTGTACGCGCTCCCAGATGTCTGCTTGCAGTCCCGGCAGTGGCAGGTGATCGTGAAGTAGCGACAAGTGAGTGAGCCATCCCCAGGAGAGTAATACTAGAATGGCGGACCTGATTATTAAAGCTTTGCCCGTCCTCAATGGTGATGGTAGTTTCACCGCAGAGGCATTGTCCTTCGATAGACTTCATGTTGATGTGTCGAAGGAGGCGCTTGATGGATTTGAAGAGGGTTGTTCTGGATTCTTCGGCCCATCGCTGTGGAGTAAGTAATCCTGGGCCAAGCTTTAGCTGCTTATATACCGTTTGGACCAAGTTGACTGATCAGACCTTGCGATGCATACCCAACGTGAGCGTTAACCACTCTTTAGCCAGGCGAGGGGTTCAGTAAGCACCCCCGAAGCATGACAGAGATAAGGCATGATTTATGCTGCAACGCACCTCAGCAAACGGGGTATGACAAAATCGTCGATGGGCAAGTCCCGCGTATTGTGCTTTGCGCTGCAAACAGGGATTACGGCGTACCGCAGAATTGGCACTGCAGGTCAGCACGATCGGCTGACTGGGAACTAAATCATTCAGTGGAATTGGGATCACATTTTCGGGTTCACTGTAGAAAATCGGGGACAACGGTCGGACATATGAGCGTCCTAAGCTACAGTCAAGGGGGATTTGCGATTTCTGGTGGTGCGAGCCAGTGGAACTGATGAGAGGGCGAGAGGCCATGGGCATGACTTCGGTTGCTAATAAGGGAAGGAAGATGTGACTATCGACATGCCCCTACAAGTGCGAGAACATGGAGGTCAAGTCATTCACGTGCCCCGCTGACAGTAGTATTTGGTTGGGAGGCCCTTGCCACACGGCCTCCCGCTTTGATCAATGAACCTGCTATCCTTTGCGCAGGAATCTACGAATCCATGCCAAGAGTCACAGCACAGGTGATTTGTATAGCATTTCAATTCACAGGTCAAATAAAAACTGAATTTCCTCCTTTCGCAGCTTCTAAAAGGAGCAAGGGCTGGCAACAGCGATGCGCTTTTCATCCTCGCCACAGCTATTCAGGAAGACCCCCATTACAAAGTATCCTACATCGAAATCGCTCTGGAACATCTTCGAGTCGACCAGCTTCCGGAGGTCTGTGCACTTCTGGCTACGGGCACAATTACAGATCAAGGTAAAACGCGGGTCACAACTGCCGTTGCGGGCTTGGGGTGCGCTCTCGCCGCTGCCACTGCATGCACCTCCAGCGCTGCGGCGAAGAGGGCCACTGTTTCCAAACTTATCGAAGCCTTAGATGGTGTTGTAGGATGGATAGACATCCTGATACGTCACTTGCCACTGCTCTACACCAACTGGGAGCAAGACGTATCCCCGGTCGAGGGGCTGTTCCGTGACATCTGCCAGCTTATGTCCTCCCTCATTCACCTGGATGATCAGCTTGCTATGGCCATGTTTTCTTCTCAAAAGGTCTTAAACACGGTTCGAATAATCTGGTCACTCAACTTGGAGACAAGTCCTGCACGAACCACGCCCATGGACAAAATTTGTGCAGTACTCAAGCTAATGGCAGACATCACACTTGATTCACCCGAGGGGAAATTCCATCTTCTTCAGGCCCTGGTTTCCAGCCCACCGTTTCTTTCTTCATTCTGCGTGGGCCTCTCCTGGAGGTTTGGCAACACCGTCACCTACCACCGGTATTACAAGTCGAACGACGATACAGTGACCAGGATCTTCCGACTTGGGGCAATCACTCGCGTCCTTTTTGAAGGGGTAAGGAATCCTATCGTGTCAGCAGCGCTACGACTCTCGAAACTATTTCCGTCATGGATCACGACACTTCTCGAACTTCAGGAAATACTGCCTCCTTCACATCTGCATTTCCATGTCCAAACTGCACTCTTACTGGCTTCCAATCGACACGGTCGCCCAACTCATTCAGTTGCTGAGACGATCACGGCTGGTATCATCCCCCTCTTCATCCCAATATTGTCCAACCTGGATTGGGGCAGCCGCGACGATGTTTTGGACGTGTTAAGAGTCATTCAACATTTGAGCCGGCTGGCTCTCTATCCTCGTCCTTCAAATGCCCTTGATCTTGCTCTCAAGCTCGAATATGATCTCCTTTCAGCCTTCAATCAGGGAGTCGCAGGCAACATCATCGCTCAGGTCTGGTCCGGTCTCTGGAAAGGCATGCATTTGGTTAATCGTGCCTTGAGCGACCTTGCGAGG